CTGCCTCCTCCCAACCCAGACCTGGAGGATACTCAGCTTGCCGTTTGGGTTTGCGGGGCCACTTCTGCCAGTTTGCCCGGGTGTTTCTGTTGGGCTGATTCGGGTGCCATTGCTTCTCTGCTTTATAGACCCAGCCCACCAGGCACCTCGTACACTGCACGTACGTCTTGCTGACCATGCTGCAAGTTCACCAGATACTTGGATGCACCAGGTTTCCTAATTGGCTTTGAGGGCCACGGCTGGTTACCACCAAGCCGGCAGAGGACGGGTTTACACCTAGTCCAGCTGGTGACACCAGCAAGTGACCAACAAACCTTACCGACGGTTGCGAGAGGCTAGAACTGGGATATTGAATGCCTAGTGCATCTTCTCGAAGAACGTTAGGGCCTCCAAGCTAAACTTTCAAATTCAAACTCGCGCAGTCCGAGCGCCGAAAACTTGAGCTAGCGACTGTCATGCTCACATGCCTTTATGGACACAGGCACTTGCAGTTCAGCCCTCGGCTCGTGGGCGGCGGTCAAAAAAAATCGTTGCACCGCAACACCCCAGCGCTTCCTACAACTCCTCCACTCTCGAACCCAGGGAATCCGGTCAGGGACTCTGCCATCAATTCATAGTCAGATCGTCGGAGCATAGAAACCGTCGAGCTCGAATGAGCATGTGGAATACCAGAAGCCACTACGCCAAAGTTCGAAGGAAAACCCTTCGTGGTCGAGCCTCCCCATGTTTTCTCCCTGAAGACTCAAACCTGTTTGAGTCTCGTGGTGCGGAGCTTGCACTGCATTCGCGGCGACGTTCCAAACGAGCTTAGTGGCTTTGCCCTACACCGGCATCCGACATCCTGAAATTGGAGTTGTGGTTTAGTTTAGCTTTTTGCACGCCACAAACGCATCCGGTCCGCATCTGAGCTACTCTGAGATTCGATACAGCGCTTAACGACCATCATCTCCTTATCAGGCAGATCCAAAATCCGACCTAAAAGATCACTCTCAGTCAAATGTGGTTGTTCATGAGCCTTTGCAGGCACCGACATCTCGCGACCATCCTCCCTAGAAGGCGGAAGCGAATCTCGTATGTAGACATGCTGACAAGCACCTCCAGGCTTCTCGGTAGGAGCTTGGGCAACCATTCTATCGCCACTACTTCCAGCCACAGCGTGCTCCGACATAACACCCGATACATCCCTAGTCTCGCAACTTTCGTTAGGACCCTTACTCGCTGTAGCCCCAAGTTGGTCATCTACTTTGGCACATGATGTGCAGTTCTACCGGGAGCTGCTGCTCTCATAGCTTGCTCCTCCTCTAGGCGCTCCAGTCGGCGAGAATACTCTTGCTGCGGGGTAACCACGGCGGCCAGAAGATCACGCATCTGCTCAAAATCTCCTGGCACCCTCATCCAAGTGAGCCGGTCTATGTGTGCGCAAATCATGCTCAAGCTTAGCAGTCTCCGAGCAAAATGCACCAGGCTGACGGGGGATTGGTTCTACACCACGCGTTCCTTCTGTAATTATCACGGGAGGTCCAAATGTTACAGGCAACCCCTCAGGATGTTGCAGCTGACATGCATTGGTGTATCATCCGCAAGATGGAAAGGAGATTGATTGTCCCTGCTCAATGTCTCTTGCCGCCATGGCCCGCTACGAGAAGCCATGGTTCTTAACCTACGGCGCGGTCCTTTTCTCGATGCTAAAGAGGCTTCCGTGTGCAGTGAACTGTTCGACCTTGGTATGCAAGGTGCTGGATCTCCGTCCGCCACACTAGCCTGGTATGTTCCAAGCACTTGCATGTCCCTGCCCAACACTAGCCAGGTATGCTCAATGAGCATTGCATCGGCTCCTATCATGTCGCCGCGCACCTCCTGCGCCTGTTCGCAAGGCACAAAGCCGCCACCGTCCCCGCCGCCTCTAGACCAGTAGTGCCTGTGTCGTGCGATGGTCCGGGCTCCTCGCCGTCGCTGCAGCGCGGCTATGCCGCCTGTTTGCTTGAACTGCCGCCCACAGAGGCCCTTTGCGACGGACCCATGCCGGAGCTGATGCGCGCTGGGACCAGCCCTGGCTGTGGCGTCCCCCCCGTTCACGCCGAGCGCAGCTGGCCACAAAAAGCATCCATGGGAAGCTCCGGGTGGGTGCAGGTTTGACCACTGTCGGAGGTTTCAACGACCGAAACACAAAGCTGCTGCTGCCTGCCGGCTGCGTCGTGGCAGCCGGGCATGAGTCCTCCAACGGGAAGCTGAAGAGTGGGCGTTCCACACGCCTTTTTACGACGGTCAGGAGAGGTCTGCGTCGGCACCTACGGTCTGCAGCAAGGGCGGGCCCATAACCCAGCTGCTTGAATGAGAGGCGTTGTTTCGGCATCATGCCACCCAAGCTGGTCTTGGACGGCGCGGTTGGGTGAACCACGTGGCCAACGTAAGATACTGAAGGACACGAGTTCTTTTTGCATGATTTAGAATTAAGACCTTGGACATGCCATGAAGATCTTTACAGATTGCCTGTCCGAGATTTTTGCATCAAGCGACGTGCATGCAGAGGTCTGTCGAAGTAACACGATTTTTTTCGAGTATCCCGCCAAATCAGCTGTCTGAGATTTTCTAACTTCACGAATGCCTGCTTGACAATTGCAACCGCATGTGAAGAATCCTTGGAACCATCATGGCAGCGTACTCTTGGCAAGACGTTACCCAAGCCCCGTAGTTCAACTCAGTCAAGCAACAGGCGCCCCCGGCGCAATCTTGAAGATTACGTCACGTAGCAAAGCTACTTCGTGCGAGAATTCGTAACGAAAAGGGCACCCAGGTCGCCCGCACAAGCGGGCTTCAACGGCTAGGAAATCGTCTCAAGAAACGAGGACCCTCGCTGCAACATGTGTGAGGTGCTTACCAAAGAGCGAAACCAGAAGCCCAAACACAACATGTCGTGGTCAAAGTAGCCAGCAGCTGCTGTTGCAAAGAGCGTTTGGCCGTGACCCCGAAAGTCCGTTATGGGACATGGTTCCCAGAACTTCCGACGACTTGAAAACCTGCTGCACCACCCCCGTCGCAGTCTGTGGCCCATGCGCGCGCACACGACGAGGCCATCGAAGTCACGGTTGACACCCCATTAGTGTAGGCTGTATTTTGGAAGGTCCCACGGTTTCCAACAGTCTTGGATTTTCGCCGCCGCAACTACTTGCATAGGTTGAACGGAGTCAGCGGAAGCGTTTGTGTGGGCCTGGGCGAGTACCGATACCCCCCCCCCCCGAGAACCCTCCAACGGTTGCGCATAACTCGACAGCAGCTGCTGTCAGCAGCTATAGCTAGGCACTCTCGAAAGATGCTGCGCCGTGCTTCGCGCGTGTTGGCAAGCGTGCCAGTCGCCAGAGAAGTGTGTAGTCATGTGTAGTCCGGAGAGTTGTATTTAGCACGCTGACTTAGGGTTTACGCCGTGCGTAGTGCGCCACAGGACGCGAGAGCGAGATGGGGCTATGGACAGGGATGTAGATGTGTGGCCTACCGATACCCCTAACAAATACCCAGCCTGTGCAGGTTGAAGCCCGCGCCCTGTAGCCGCTCAATCCGTACGCTCAGTATTGGCACATGTGTGTTATGTCTGTGTCTGTATGTGTGTATTTCGTTATGTATGCAAGTAAGTATGTGTATGTGCTTGTGTATGTAACTGTATGTATATATAATATACATATCAGCTATGTATATGTACTATATATATATATATATGTATATATATATATATGTACAAGTGCATGTATATATGTATATGGGTAGTTCTCTAAATTCGGGTCCCTTTTAGGGTCCTCATTATAAGGGTGCCGTACTATATTGGGGACCTAAACAGGGACCCTAATTTGGAGAACCACCCATATGTGTATCTGTCGATGTGTTTGCGGTCCTCAAGTTGTTTTCGGCGGCCGCAAGTACATGCACCGATTGAGTTGTAGGAAAATGTCGCAACGGGTTTTGACAACGATTCATCAGCAGACTTTGCAAGAATGCTTGGGGGGTGGTTTCATAGCAGGCAGCAGTACGTGCCCGGGCATTCGCAACCTTCCCCACCGCTCAACGTGGTCTCGGCCTGCAGTCGCCTGCGCGGACAGTGCTTAGCGTACTGGGCTGCGTATGCTGCGTGGCCGGATGCGTTACCCGGGGGTCGTTAGACACCAGGACCGATCCAAGCCATCAGCCGCCCGCCAGCCCCGCAGCCACCAGCAACCCTCCAGCCAACACGGTCACCAGCCAGCCACCAGCCATCAGCCACCCGCCAGCCCCGCAGCCACCAGCAACCCTCCAGCCAACACGGTCACCAGCCAGCCACCAGCCATCAGCCCTGGCAAGTTTTTGGAGGCGGGTGCCACAACAGGCTGTTGGAACTTGTCATTCCCGGACCAGTTCCTTAAGTCCTTTTTTTGATTTTAACTTGCAGCGTAGATGAGTGATGATGAGTGCGCATGGTGCCAACCTAGGTACCCTGGAATTGCCAAACAATTTTTTTTGGTGACCATTAGTTTTTTATTTGATGGCTGGAGGCCCAACCTTTGTTGATGCTTACTAATGTTGTTCGATGTTTCACTCGGAACCTTGACTGGAATCAATGATGGAGGTACAGTTTGCTCTTTGCTGTTTGGGTGCTTTGCAAGTTGTCCACGTTCGAGGGAAGCAGCCTCGTCGCTGCAAAGTGGCGTGCGTGGTGACATCGTGAGCTCTCTCACTGTTAATAAGATGGTGCTGATAATTAAAGTCGTGGCTACGGGTCTGTTGCCAGCCGCTGCTGTGTTGGCCGCTTGCTTGAAGTATTGTTGGATGTTGCAGCTTCGCCTAGCCATGCTGAGAATCTCCTTGGTTGCACAGGTGTATGGGCAGATGGTTTTCGCAGCCACGAATTCTAACTCAAGCTGCTAGATTCTGTGCGCATCTCTTCGGCTTGACCGCGTGCGCGGTTTTTTGGAGTGAAGGTCAGGTCCTTTCCCGGGTTTACATGTTCCATGCTCCCGCTTGCAATGCAGGTGCCGATGGCACAGCAGCTCCCAGTGCGGAACACGTTCATTGAGGCGGCCAGACATGTCACGACAGGTCCGTGGCCGCTTTTAACCGCAGCGTGTGATTGCCGAGGTGAGAGCCCCAGCTGTCATCCGGCCGCGATCACAGACAGATTTCGCTCCAGGTCTTTGCCTTAGCTCTGGATTGTGGGGCGGCGGTGCTTACTCCAGCAGCTTGCCGGATGCCTTACGAAGGTCCTGGAAGCCCCGTGACGAAGGGTGTAGGTGCAGAGTGAACCACTTGCGGTGGTTTCAGATGCGAGCCAAGAGTCTGCTGACTGTGACAGGTGCTCCCGTGCTTGCTGCGGCAGCCGCAGCTCCAGCAGCGCCACCTGTCGCGCCAGTCTCCGCATGTGCAGTGTCCAGCATCGAGACCGCCGCAAGCAGGTGCTCCGGCACTGACCCTTGAAAGGAGTCTCTATTTCTTCGTTTGGGGACATTTTTTCCTTTTTCCCTCAGCAGTAGCATTCATAGCCCTTTGTCAGGCGCTGCTCTGTGATTCGAACGCCAGATGCAGTCCTGGCGTGTTTTTGGCACCTGCTCACCCAATCTCCTGGAAGCATGTTTTGCCAGGTCTTGTTTCCTCGCACTCCGCTGGGATCCGTTTCAATGGAGCCGCCGCATGGGTTCGCCTTGCCACAGGCAGGAAGGGAGCCCAACAAGTGCCCGCTTTCTGCAACAGCTTGGCCACCGCATGCACAAAACAGGAATGCAGAATCACAACTGGAAGATGGGGAAGAGTGAAACGTGCAGACTGCTGTGTTCGTCGTTGTTGCAAAGTCAAGAAGAGAGCCAGAAGGTTCATGCGACGTTCTGCAACAGCTGCGAAGTGGGACCCGGTATCGGGCAGCGGGAAGTGACCGGGCAGTGGTTGGGCAACGGGCAGTCGGTGCTTCACAGCGGAGTGCAAGTAAGTGGCTACATGACGGATTCTCGGGTCGGAACGATTTCCCAACGCAATATGAACCGGGATAAGCAGTGTTTGTCGCATGCTTCGGGGATGTGGCTTCGCCGATATGCAGGCTCTAGACGAACTTCAGAGGCGAAGGCCTCCGACTTCGTCCTATGAGACGCGTATTACGACAGTCTTGGCAGATTCCCTTTTGCTTGAGTTCTTTCTGGGAAGGACAAGTACACTGAGTTCTGAGGCAGCTCGCGTGCAAACTAGCATTGAACTCAGTTCCATTTCTCAGCCTGCTTAAAGACTGACGGCGTTCAGTCTGGATCCCAGAGCGACCACGGAGCTGCTCGCAGACATCGGCACTGAGGTCATTCAACGACGACGCGCAGAAGCTCCCTCGACATGATTCCCAGTACGCTGCAGCCTTAACATTGCCGTCGCCGGGATCTGTGGAGACACGAAGTCGCAACACGATGAGCTAGGCCTGATATGTACTACAGTTGGCCTGTGGACATGAACCCGGCAGTTGTGAGCTCAGCTCCTGAAGTGCACAGCAGGTAACCTAGCAGGTGCATGGCAGGCTGGTCAGGCGAGTCAGTACTGGTTACTAGGAAAAAAAGGAATTGCATAGCAAGGGTGACAGATGCTGACTCAGACGCGAAGATGACGATCACGACCAGAATGATAATATCGGTGGCAGACGACCTAAAAACGGTATTGACTGTTAAATCCAACGCGCCGGCCTCCGCCGTGGCCGAGTTGTGCGGGGTCGCCGTCCCCAAGTTACGACTGCCAGGTGCGCCCCTTCACCTGCTATGGACGTTCAAGCCTGCAGGTGACGACCCGCCACCAAAGCATAGAGGTAAGTAGTCGTGGTAGCGGTAGCAGGTAGTCATAATTTGCAGTCCTCTCCCGCTGTGTTGTTTTGGGGTCGGGGTGGTGGTGGTGGTGACACTGTGATACTGGTAATGGTGTAGCGGAGGAGAAAGAATAGTAAGGAGTAAGAGTAGTAAGTAGCAAGAGTAAGAGCTCACCCTCCCCATGACCCACCCGAGCTTGCTTTTGTAATTTGCACGAAATGCCAAAACATCGGCAGGGATCGAATGGCCTTGCACCACTACGCCATACTACGACGACGACAATACAGGCCACGGAAGTTCTCCGCTTAGAATTATGCTTCGCTTGGCAATAGCTTGGAGCACGGGGCCGAGCTGACCGCAGTAACCAAACCTTTGAAGCAATCCACCTTCTCAAGCAACAGCGTGCCCTATTTGCTCAAGTACGAGGCAAATCCAAGGTCTTGCATAATCCCACTGAATCGTCGGGCTCACTTTATAGGGCTCCAGGAAAGCTGACAGAGCTGTCGACGGGGTGTCCGTGCCCGGCCGGGCATTGCACACCAGACTTGCAGAAACCAAAGCCGAACGCGTTTAACAGGCCTCGGTAAGTGCTTTGGAGCATGTGCAAAGCTCCGAGAGCTCAATTTGAGCAGCGCATGCAGCGCCCTAAAGCATGTTCGGGTGTGGGAACGGCATTGAACGGCAGTTTTGCAGAAACTCGAATGCATTTAGCACGCCTTGGAAAATGCATTTGGGCTTGGTCGGAGGCTTCGGGAGCTTGATTTGGGTTCGGGGACTGGCTCCACGGGTTTAGGGAAAGCATTGAGCTCCAGATTTGGAAGTCCAAATATGTTTGGCAGTACTTGGAAAATGCATTTGGGCAAGCTTCGACAGCTCGATTTGGGTTCGGGGACACGGGCCAGGAACACCAGCAAAGCTGGAACAGCTCTAAATGCGCTTTCCAATGTTTTCCAAACCTTGAAAAATGCATGTTGGTAACCAAACTGCAGCATTTGCAGTACGATTTTCGGGTTTAGGGACGGCATTGAGCTCCAGATTTGTTGGAACGAAGGCCAAATGCGTTTAGCATGTGAATGCATTTGGGCTTGGTCGGGGGAATCGAGGGCTCAAATAAATTATTAAAGCCCGGGAGTCGGGCCAAGGACACCGGGCAAAGCTGAAACAGCTGTCAATGCGCTTGCCACCTTGAAAAATGCATTTGGGCTTGGTTGGAGCTCCCGGAACTGTCGAGCAGTTTCTGGGTGGCTGCATTTTCGGGTGTAGGGACAGCATTGAGCTTCAGATTTGTTGAAAGTGAATTTGGGCTTGGCCGAAGGCTTTGGGAGCTCGATTTGGGTTTGGGGATGGGGGCAAAGCTGAAACTGCTCTAAATGCGTTTCCAATGCTTTCCAAACCTTGCTGGTTGGAAGCCAAACTGCAGTAGCAGTACGATTTTCGGGTTTAGGGACGACGGCATTGAGCTCCAGATTACTGGAGCCTGCCGCCGAACCACCTCCAGAACCTGGCCCAAAACGCGAACCCGCACCGCGGTCCGCCCTGAAACTCGCAACCTGCACCGAACCCACGCGGAACCTGCCCCGGAACTCGCCTACCACCTGCGAACCTGGTAACTTGCCCGAAACCTGCCCCGAACTGGTCCCGGAACCCCAATCTGGCCCAAACTTCTGTCATGGTGACGCTACCCTACCCTCTAATGCTTCACCGGTGTGAGAAGCTGGACGAAGCCCACGGTACCGCCCACTGATTAATTAACACATATTTAATACTATCTCGGCACACGCACACCACTTTTACTGGACAGGCAGCACTACCCCATACTACCCCTCATCGCATAGGGACGCCATCTTCCTGGATGCGCATGAGGGCACCGGCTAGGCCTAAACGTGAAGATCGCACGCACCTCACCGGCGCGTGCATTCTAAATTGAAGCATTGATGAAGCAAGGACCGGTATGGAACGGAAGGGAGTGGAGGTTTCAATTAAGTCCTCGAAAGGTTCAATTAGCGCCCGCCCACCTTCAAACTCGACGCGTTTGGGTCAACTCACATCTAGGCCCTGTGTGGGCACACCCCTCAAACAAATACGCTCACAAGGATTACAGTGCGGGTTCCATCACACGCTCGCTAAGATTATGACCTGATGTGCGAACCTATTCTGACATCAACCATGGGATTAAAAATCGTCTCATCGTAGTCAGAAGCATGTCATCCCACGTGTTCAGAGTATTTTAGACGCCTTTGGGACCGACCAGATTGAGCCTCACGAACCGAAACGTCCTGTGAATTTGGAGCGTACGCGCGTACGACCCACCATTGGCATGGATGCACGCTTGGGTGAGCCAGCCGGCGAAGGCTGCGCAGTGACGATGATGGACCTGATTCCGTTTGGGGTTTATATATGTGTTTGCCACCTGATAGTGCGTTCATAGGGATGAAAATGAAAGGTGGTCTTGGCTGACAGGAGACTGACTGCTAGTGAGGGAGAGATGCTGGCTCACTCTCAAGATGCCCTGCCCCGAAGCAGCGTGGAGATGTGCAGCGAGAGAATGTGAGGCTTTTCGTTGGGCTTTCCTGGCTTTGCCATGTTGTCTTTCGAAAAAAGGCTTGGGGGTGCCGCAGAGTGGCCAACTGTTCGGGCTTTCAGCTGTTACGGCAGTTGGATGCTTTGCTGATGAGGCTTTCATGCTGCCTAGTGCTGCTCCTCCGGGACAGGCGTTTTTGATTACTAGGTATCCAGCTGAGCAGTGTAGGCAGAAGTCACACCTTAACCCTGGCAGGTGGCGGCCGCACCAGCGCCTCTCTCGACGCAATGCACAAAGCCGCAGGCACAAGCGGCGCAAGCTGGGGCTGTCGGCGCTTCCGAACGTCTTTCGAAAGCCCCGGCTCCTCTTGGAAACCCTTCCGTCACGCCCGTTTCCTGGGAGACATATGCGGCACCGGCACCACCGGCACATGCACCTTTACTGGTTCAAGACCAGAAGCCACTTCACAACATGCCAATGTGGCCTCCCGGACACATACAATCCACGTTGCTGCCAAGCAGATATCCCATGCAGCATCCACAGCAAGTCTTGGTCCTCTCCAATTTCCTGCAGGAGGCATCACACCGTGCTTTATAGAATGAATGTAATCTTCTGCTGCCCGAGGCGCCTCCAAAAATGGACGAGCTGTGCTAAACTAAGATTCGTTTCCATGGATACTGGTCTTCGGGAAAGACGGACAAGTGGCCAACTTGGTTTGCGACGTCCAGGTCCGCTGCGCACGCAGATTCACAGCTCTATGATTCCTCGGCATTGCAAGCTGCCAGTGGTGTCACAACGTTCTCCCGGCATGTACATGCAGTCAAACCTGAGCATTCATCAGTCGACCTGCTCCCCAAGGCTGATGCTTCGAAATATTCCGGTTGCCCACTTACTGGTGAACTGCAGCATGGGGCCCAGAACATCAAATAGCACTCCACTTCAGGTGACCTTCAATCGGGAGGCACTCTTAGCAGATTTTGATGCAGGCAGCCCAGATTCTTCGATTCATCGTAGTTTCGTGCGTTGGAGGTTTATGGCGGTTCTTACAGAAATCATGGGAAGCCCGGCAGAGCTGCACCACACGTTGGGGGTACCGTGCACACTGCAAATACGGTTGGCTGCTCGACCGCTCGCTCTCAACTCGTGTCGGTTGTGTACCCTCGAGATCAATTGTAGATTTTATAGACGGTCATCGCCGTACAAGGCGGGGGTGTCTAAAACATCCAAAAATCATTGTTCGTGTGTACCTTTTTTTCGCGAGCATTTTCGTGTTTAAACATGTGTAAATGTGTGTAAACATGTGGAAAACATGTTTAAAGAATCCGTGTCTAAACATGTTTATCAGTGGCTAAAACTAGCTGTAGGACCACTGGCTGCATCTTCCACCAATCCGAGTGTGCAAACTGTTTCGACTTTGGTGCCCAGCAGTTTTCTCGAATTCATGTTTCTTGTATTGTGGACTGGGTTTGTTCATGCAGCAAGACTGCATGCTTGAACAACTGCGGGGCATAGTGTAGTCAGCGAAAACTTTTTCAACTCTTCTTTTCAACATTCCACTATCTTAGATTTCAAGCTATTTTCATCCCCCCATTCGTTGATTCGTGTTAACAATCCTTTCACTTTGCCTGCTCAATCCTGAAAATAAAACGTTCTCGTCCACCAGCGCGGCGCTAGATCTTCCATCCGTTCCGTATTATTTCTGGCAGAATGGGATACCTGGACACAAACAAGCAAACACGCTTGGCTCCACCAATTTCCAAACAGGAAGTCGAACATGGACGGATCATCAGCACAACACAATCGTCACAGTTCGAAGGCACCTTCCGGCTCTGTAACGACTCTGCGGTACGTTCTATGATTCTGACCGTGTAGTACAACAAAAGCAATCAGGCAGACACGCTTCGTGGGGGAAGTGGGTACTTACAGCAAAGGTGCAAGCAGATGTGGCAAAAACACAACCAGCCTAGCACACTCTTGTTTACGCCAGTCGGCTGTCACGCCGCCCGGACACCCTTTCTCGGCATCTTTTCGTTCTTCCTGCTTCGACATGTTTCTCTCTGGCCTGCGTTTTTTTTCGGGTTTTTGAACATTTCTTTTTTTTTTGTTCGTTCTCGTTCTTTTGCTGATTTTCGCTGGCGCAATTTTTTTTGCTCCTCTCGGGTCCAAAACTCGAAGTTTTGCTGTTTTTGAGCGCGTTTTATGCTGGAAGGGCCGTTTTCACTGCATTTTTACAGGTGATTCGCCGTTTTTTGCTTGCTGTTTCTATGCTTTCGCAGACTCTCGTCGTGATGACTCGCTCCGCTGTTTCCCACAAAGCATCCATGTGGCAACCATGTTAATGTCCACAAAGACTCCGCCCGTTTTTGCAGAGCATCCATGTGGCAAACATGATAACGTCCACAAAGACTCCGTCCGTTTTTGCAGAGCATCCATGTGGCAACCATTATTAATGTCCACAAAGACTCCGTCCGCTTTTGCACCGCATCCATGTGGCAACCATGTTATCGTCCACAAAGACTCCGTCCGTTTTTGCAGAGCATCCATGTGGCAACCATTATTAATGTCCACAAAGACTCCGTCCGCTTTTGCACCGCATCCATGTGGCAACCATGTTAACGTCCACGAAGACTCCGTCCGTTTTGCAGAGCATCCATGTGGCAACCCTGATAACGGTCACAAAGACTCCGTCCGTTTTTGCACAGCATCCATGTGGCAACCATGTTAACGTACTCCGCGCGTTTTTCCACAGCATCCATGTGGCAATGTTAACGTCCACAAAGACTCCCAAAATAGCCCGTAGAACCCAGAATACAATTCTAGAGCCTGTAACTTCCCGAGCCACTGCAACCGCGCAAGGATTTGGGTGTACAACGACAAATCCAAGAACCGAAAGGCCAAGCAAATTTGGCATGCCTGCTCGAAAGTTTGGTCTGTGTATCCCCAAGTCCTGCTGCGGTTGCAGTGGTTCGGGGCCCTAGAATCGTAAACCCCACGTTGGAGACTTCGAGTGTGCCGTGCTTGTGTTTGTGTAGTCTGCTTGCGACTTCTTTCACCGACCTGCTAGCCGTGTGACTCTGGTAGTCCATCGTTGCATGAGTTGCATGTGCATGGTTTGGACGGCCCATAACCTGCCACCCACCCAGACCGTAGCCACCCATTACAATAAAGCCTTCATGTTTGGGCAGCACGCCACAAATTTAACCTGGCAGGGTTACGTTCGGGATTGTTTCTTTTCCTACTTTCCCGAGTCAACGCTGTCCTAAGATGTGTGTGGACCCAGGGTACGAGGGCAGAGAGTCCAGACACTTGTTGTGGAAAAACACAGCAGAACTGGCCGTCGGTACAGGGCAGAATTTACTGGCATGTGTTTTGGCCCCAGGCCTGAATTTTCCGGCCTGTGTTGTGGCCGGGTCCGGTTTTTTTTTGCTTTGGTGTGGCCCTTGCTTTGGTGTGGCTTGCTGACTTCTTGGTTTTTTCTTTGCTTTTCTTGGCTTCCTGGCTTCTTGGCTTGTTGGCTTCTTGGCTTCCTGGCTTCCTGGCTTCTCGGTTTTTTGGCTTCTTGGCTTTTTGGCTTCTTATTTTTTTTGGCTTCTTGGCTTCTTGGCTTGGCTTCGTGGCTTCCTGGCTTCTTGGCTTTTTGGCTTTGGGCAGCAACGCGAGAATTGCTGCATCTCGCTGTTGCTGATGCGGCTGCTGGCGACCCGTGCCATCAAGCCCTAAACCAGCCGAAACCCGAAAAGTTCACGTGATTATGTAACCTTACGCGACGTCTACTGTGAGACTGAAAGCACATGAACATGAAGCCGAGGCTTTGAAGCCTTGAATGGTGTTCCAAACCTAAAAACTTCACCGCAGGTGACACAAGAAACCACCCTCCAAAGGCTTAGCCCTAAAGCCAAATCGGGAACTGGCCATTGTCTTTTTGTTTACAACGCATTGCCCGCAGGCTTTCGGCTATAGTTGTCCACCAAATGAGCCGGTGTAGCCGATATCGCCAAATGAGGGGGCATGTTTAAGTTATAGGACGAACCGGAATCGCCAAATGAGGGGGCGTGTTTAAGTGTTTAAGATATGTGATGAACGTTTATCGCCAAATGAGAGGGCGTGTTTAAGATATGTGATGAACCGTTTATATCGCCCAATGAGAGGCCGAGTTCAACATAAGTGATGAGCATAAGGGGCCTGCGTGTTTAAGATATGTGGTGAACCGGACTCGAAACATGAGGGCGCGTGTCTAAGACATATGGTGAGCTGGAATCGCCAATTGAGGGATATATGTTCAGCATGTATGATGAACCGGAATCGCCGAATGAGGGGGCATGTTCAAGATATTTAATGTAGCGGGGTCACCGAATAAGGGAGGGGCGTGATCAAGATATGTGATGAACTGTTGTCGCCAAATGTGGCATGTTTAAGATATACGCTGATCCGGAGTCCCCAGATGAGGGGGGGGGGAGTGTTTAAGAGATATGGTGAACCGGAATCGCCAAATGAGGGGTGTGTGAGATACCTGAAGTTCGGAATCGCCAAATGAGCGATGAAGATGTATGAGGAACCGGAACCGCCAAACGAGGGGGCGTGCTTAAGATATATGATGAACCGGTATCTCCGATTGAGGGGACGTGTTAAAGATATATAATGAGTTGCTATCACCAAATGAGGCTGAGGGGGCGTGTTTGATATGTGATGAACCTTTATCGCCACATGAGGGGGCGTGTTTAAGATATGTGATGAACCGTTACCGCCAAATGAGAGGGCGTGTTAAACATAAGTGATGAGCCGGAATCACCAAATAAGGGGCCTGCGTGTTTAAAATATATGGCGAACCGGAACCGCCACATGAGGGGGGGTGTTTCAGATATAGGATGAACCGGAATGGTGAAATGACGGGGCGTGTTTAAGATATATGATGAACCGGAATCCGTGTTTAAGATATACATATGGCGAACCGGAGCCGCCACATGAGGGGGTGTGTTTAAGATACATGGTGAACCGATATCGCCAAATGAGGAGGCGTGCCTGCATGCTTTAATGGAATCCAATGTGGCAGCCTTTTTGTCCTCGAGGGGATGTGGTGGTAGGCACTCCTGAGCAACCTCGTTACCCTGACCCAAATCTGCCCCAGAACCACTTTCGCGGAGACTGCTCTTCTGTGTTTGGGGTGCTGGTTTCTCGGCTTCCTTACTGGGGGTGCCTTAGCGGTCTTTATCCTTTCCACGAGGTGTCGGCAGGTGTGCTGGGTGTTGCTTCGGGGAGTGCCTAGTCACGCCACAAGTGCTCACCCCAGGGGAGAGGATAGCCGCTTATCGCCGTCATTAGCGGTGCATGGGCCCAAAGGTTGTCGGAACTAAGTCGTCTTTGTCAACGGTGCTTGTGATCGTGGAGGTGGACTCAGCTCATCCCGAACCTGCTTTGCCTGCCCTCGACTACAGAGTGGATTTTCCTCAGCAGCGTGCGCTTGGCCTCTAGGTTGTCTTCGAGGAGCAGCTCTCTAGCTGAGGTCAGTGTGCAGAGCGCCTTTGGAGTGGGGGTCTGGAGCCACACCTTTTGCTTGCAGAGGGGCAGGAGCCGCAGAGCCATCCCTGTGTGCAGGTGAGATGCCTATGCGTGTGTTGGGGGTTCGCAAGGCTGCTGCTCTGGCCTTGGCTCCGAGGCAGAATGGATGGTGCTTCGCATGGAGGCCCGGAACGTGGCAGTAAGTGGCTTGCTGCTGGCGGCAGCAGGGCACGCCTTCACTGCGGCCGAAATCGAGACCAAGAAGCTATGGAGAGATTGCGCGTGGCAATGGAAGCCGATCCTGCTGCCTACGCGAATGCCATCGGGAACTTAGCTGCACAAGTTCTGGGCGAGGCAACTCCCAATCAGATGACTCTGGAGCGCTACGTGCTGGACATGAGAAGTTGAGGGATGTGAGCGTCGCGGGTGCTCCCGTGCACTATGGTGCAAGATCTGCAGGACCCATGAAGGCAAAACAGAACTATCCCTCGGCGTGGCTTTGTGGAGAGAAAAAAAAGTTGAGCGTCCTTACAGGAAGTTCACCTGACCTCCCAACTACACGTTAAGGAGTTGCCAACTTGCATGAGCGCTCCCGCGAGAACGTGCAGGGGGGGGGGGGGCACACCAAAGCAAGAGCCACACTAAAGCAAAAAAACCCTCCGCCGTTGTGGCCTGGGGGACAGGGCAAAATTTCTTGGCATTGGCCTTGGCTCTGGGTTTCAAAACAGAACTTACGGTGCACAATTTTCTTGCATGTTCTAGTTGTCCGCACCTCAGCAACGTGAAGCTGGTTCCTGATGATCCTACTGTCACCTCCTGGTTGATCTTGACTCGCATATGTCTTGCTTTGAGTGCACTTGAACATCGAGACACATTTTTGAGATGTTCAATCATGTCGAAACATCATTATTTTGATTTTAAATGATTTTCGGGTTGATGACCATAGGATTGCATTGCTGAAAGTATGTGTATTCATGTGTGAAACATGTCACAATGTACGTTTCTGCTCATGTATAAATTCGTGTTTAAAATAGGTGGACGTGTTTAAAAACCATAATATTCATGTTTAAAGACTTCAGGATATGATATGTTTAAAATCCGGTTCGTGTTTAACATCCAGCGTGTTGATGTTCAAAAGTATTGCAAAATACAGTTTGCACGGCTCAGCTTCTTAGACGTGAAAAAAATGTTAGGCGCTCTGGTTATTTCCACAGTACCGCACTCAATATTTTAGACGCGCCCTCTGATCTCTAGGGTATTAAATTTGGGCAACCGCTGCCAACGCATGGGACGACCGGCGGATGTGCGTGAAGCAGTGCTGGTGTCTATGTCGATTTCTGTCCCCTCGTATGCTCGGGTGCATCCCGAGCTGAACGTAGAGTCATTGCCAGAATTCAGACTGGCTGCTCTTGTTCAGCTTGTTCAAGGTTTAGCAGCCCTCACCTCGTCAACTTTGACTTTGCGAACACCAGGAATGCAGCATGATTCCAACCTCGTGACTCATGTTGATAAGGCTCGCGGCTTGAGAGGTTCGCATCTCAGTCGGATGCGTTTGGATGAGACCCTCACATCGAGCTGTAGCAAGAGGCAAATATGATTTTTTCTATCTGCCGATCGACTTCCAGACTGGAAACAATCTGGGGTGCCTGGCTGTGACATTTGGTGAAGCTGATTGGGCACATAGAGTTTGTCATGGTGCAAGGGTTTGGCAACAGTACGGTTCCTGCGCGTTAAGCGTTGCTGTTTCACTGTTTCGAAGGGGTGTTCCGAGCTTCCCCTGCCACCCTTGCGGCAGCCATCCGTAACGTAAGCCAACGAGAGCTCCGCGAATCTGCGACCACGGTGGTACATTGCAGGGTGTTTTCCCCGTTGTAGCCGCAGAAAGCAGAGACTCAGAACGAATCATGTGAGGCAGGCATAGAACCAGTAGAGTCATGCTGTGAAGCAGTGAAACATCCGCTGCTGGAGTAGAAGAGGGTAGCTTGTGATTCGTGTCAGTGTCGCTCCATACAGGCGAGCAAACGAACAGCGCAGCAGAGAGACAGAGACGGCTAGACCTAGACAACTTAGACCGATAGAGACAGAGATGGGCAGCTGTCACGAAAGCTAGCTCTTCGGGAGTTGTGGTTTGTCACCTGGGTGGTGGAAAAAGCAGGAGCAGAATGTTCCCCTCGCCAACTTCCTCCACATCTTTTGTTCGGCAGCTGTACTTACAAGTCCATCTTATCCACATGTCACATACATGACTTTCAGATCCCATTTGTCACACCCCTCGATCTGATTCGCGAACAGTGCAGGGTTGTCTCCGGCTGCACACTGAAGCTACCCTACAGGCTGGCAACGCCATGGCTCTCTGCACAATTTCCTGCAAGTTATGAAAGCCTAGTTACGTGTCCAATGCTGGGCCACATCCGAGCAGTGTCTGGGGTCCTGCAGCCGTGCACCATCGTGCACCCCTGCGATGCATCGGAAATGGAACGATTCACCTGCTGAGGACACTACGCAAGGAACAAATGAGCGCATTCAACAGAGTTTCTTGCTCTTCTTGTAGCTGTAGTGGCCCCTTCGCAGGTCAGTCAAGTTTGTTTAGCTTGTTTCACGCCGAAGTTGGGCTAGAGAGGCACAGAGAAGCCGATTACAGAAAATGCCCAGAACACAGAGAGAGTCGAGCAGACATGCCATGCCAGCTGTAGACACAGAAGCATGGACATACAACACAGACACACAGCCACAGCCACAGCCACAGCCACGCCCACGCCCACGCCCACGCCCACGCCCACGCCCACGCCCACGCCCCCGCACGCATGCACCCGCGCACCCGCAAACCCGCAAACCCGCCTGCCCACCCACGCTCGCCCGTTGTCGTTTGGGATGCTGGCTTGTGGGGTGGGTAGTGTGTGGGCCTCAGTTGTTAGGACCTGTTGGTAGCAGGGGTCCCTCCTAATCAGCAAGAGTAGCGTTTGAGGTTCGTGTGGGGCTGAGCTGTCTCTCAGATGAGGGGTGGTTGAAAGTACCACTGCCGGCTGCACCAGGGACTGTTACACAGCGTGTGGGGTGCGAGAACGAGCAGGGGACCTGCAGCTCACGGGGCATGGCAAAGCATGGTTCGGCCAGGAACACAATCCGTGTGCCAGCCATGCCCAGCGAGTATCGCTTCAGCCAGTTGACTTCGGCGGAGGAGCGGCGAGGATTTTTCGATCATGGGAGATGCGGGTCAAAAAACAATCTTTTACATGCGGCGCGGCAACGGAGAGGTGTGTGGATCCGACGCCCCTTGCCTCAAAGCCGTGGTGAAGAGGAGCAAGAAGTGCCGAGTAAATCTGTGTGTCAGGTATGCTTTCGTGAACTTTGTGTCGCCGGTCTTTGCTGAACAGTTCCGGACCGTCTACCAGGCCTTGCTGTGTCAGCTTTCCGGACATGGCAATTGGGAAGTGGATGGAAATGACTTTTGCTCAGGGATTGGCGTTGGCCGGCGAAAGAAGCAAGAAGATATGTGCGGTTGCACCTGCGACGACTCAAGGGAGGTGCTGCCATTGTTGCACTGTTGTATGCCCCGTGTCCCATCCAAAAACTATGTAATTATAGGTCATAGGTAAATGTACAATCCTCGTACATATATATATATACACATATATGTCTGTATGTCCCCTGTGAGTGTGTGGGGAGCGAGCACACAGCAGTGGTTTAGGCTTTGGATTTGGATTGTTGTTTGCCTTCAGTTGAGCATACAGCAGAGCCGGATGCCGTGAAGTGTGCTCGTGTCGTTCCAAAAATTTTATCAGACGAAACTCGTGCTGACACGGAGCAACCGTAGCCTGCCAGGCTTGCGAACGTTGAGTATTACCGCAACAGCCCCGTCATGAGCATGGAGGAGAAGTCGCACGGATGCAATGACCGCCAATATAGGTCGTGCATGAAATAGTCCACCACAGCTGCCGAACATGTTGTGGCATGGAAGCAGTTTTCTCGTTCAGCCGTCAACATCCTCCGATGCACCCCTCGTGTCTTCCTCGTGTGTTGTCATTCTTCTGCAGTGGGTGCGAACAGTTGCTCGGCAAGGTATCATCCTTTGGTCTTCGAGAATGGTGTAAGACAGAAGTTCCCAGCCCCGACCAAGGCCATGTCGCATGGCTGTTGTCTCACATGCGTCTGCTGCAGGCCGTGCCCTGTGACAGGCTGTGAAGCCAATCCGCTTCAGAGAAAGCAGAGGGATACAAGGTGAGTGATCTCCCTCGTGCCACGGCCTTGACATGGTCAGGGAGCACATGCCCAGATGTTTTGTTCTGAACATTTCCGAACGACACGCGGGTAGCCTCAGCACACTTGGGTCGACAGATTAGTTGCGGCCTCTGCTGCCTCTTCCTTCGACCGGCGGGTTGCGGGATGCAGTACCACAGCGTCTGAGCGAAAACCAGTCTATTCTGCGACCGGCACATCCCAACCCTCCAGCATTGCTGCCTTTGACAGATGCAGTTCACTTCTCGACCGCCTGCCGATTATTTGCGACGAGACAAACCCGGCGTGCCAACAAGGCCCGCCCGATGGGCAGCTCACGGCGGCTATTCCTCCGCACCACAACCTGAGCGGAAAGCGCCGGTGGTGGATGGGCAGCGTGCATCACAACCGCGGGGGTCCATCGGGCTTGCAAGGGCTCATTATGGCTCATTGTCCGCCTTCACTCGGTGGTGCGCTCCCAGACACGCGGGGTGCGCAGCATTTCGGGTTTAATTTAGTTTAGTTTAGTCGTTTGCCGGGCAGCGGTGCAATCGTAGCTCACATTTTACATTTCACGAGAGGTTGCCTGCAACTCAGGCGGTGCTTGACTGCGACCACTCTGCACTGAAGAGGTAGAGCCTGTGGAATGACTTGGTCGCTGCGACCGTTGGGCAAAGACCCCCGCTCAAAGGCGCTGATGTAAATATTTGCAGCCGGTGTCGGAGCGGGTTTTAATAGAAAATTTCTATCATTGCTTCAGCTCGCAATTGGACGGGTGTAGGTCGGATGTTTTCCGTTCGGGCAGTGCACTACTGCCCCAGGAAGGCCCTTACTGCAGACGTGGTGTGGGCAGGATGTTTCACAAGTTGCACCACGGCAACTTACAATCAGTTGATGATCATTGCCGAAACAGCCGGCAAGGCCCAGGCTGCAAGGTTGCATCTCTGTTTTGCATCGTGTTTTTGTGTCCCCGCCGTTTCTCACCGTGTCGCTAGCTGTTTAACTAGGAGAACCACGATAGAGCGACAGAGTCACGGGCATTGATGTTGTCCCAGCAAGCTCAACTGACCAAAGTGCCAAGGCATCAAAGTACTTGAGTGGCTGAATTCTCGGCGCAACTGATATCGACTCCAAAATGTCCATGTGACATTGGAAATATGTGATTTTGCATGCTTCGCATGTCAACCTTCTAACGCAGCCTCGGCATGGAGTCATCCTCCGTCCAGGCCTCAGACCAGTTTCGGTTGAAGACGATGCTTCTTGTGGAAATGCTGATTTGTAAGGTCCGTGCTGCGGTTGGGCCAGCATGGACAGCCATGGGCCGGTCCATGGAAGGTGTGAAGGCAATTGGAACTGGTAGAAGGTGAAGGGGTCGCTGACTTTCAATCGCTCCTAATCCGAATCTCTGAGGACATGCGAACGCAGGTCTTACCGCCGCTGCATGGACCCTGCGCCTAGTGTAGCGTGGATTTGCGATGCATGTTCCAAGTCCAAGGCCTGAAGTCCTAACAAGCCTTGACAAGTTGCCGGAGCCAGGAACTAATCTCTTACCTTCTACCGTTTCCGCATGTGGCTGGCCCTTTCAGCTCAGGTTCTTTGAAGATCCTGATCCCGTGCAGCACTCCGACGTGTTTCCTTCGTTTCAGCCTGAGAGGTGGAGGTGGTCTGATACCGATCGCAGGAAGAATGTGGTTGTCCATAAAGCATGATAATGCCACCGGTTCGTGCAACTGTTCATGCCATTTCATGGGTACAGCTTTCGGAAGTCTGGGAGCTCATGTCATGCAGGAAGAGTCAGCACCACCATGGAGCTATCGTTTGATGTCGTTTGTCTCAGGGAACTCGCGGTTCGGTTAGAGTCGGTTAGGTTCGCGTGAACTGCTTGGAACTGGTTCGCGATTCGTGGCAGTTCGGTTCGGGAGTGGTTGGGGGTTGGGGGGGTATTGAATCCCTACCTGAAGCATGCCAACAAGTGCCAACTAAGAGATGCCAAACCAGGTGCCTCCTATTTGTATTTGTGGCGAATGGCACAGTGTACGACCTGTAGAAAGCTGGGCTGGGCGTGCCCAAATTTGAGAACTTGCATTCATTTTGTCCTATCTGCTTTGAGGTGGCTCGTCCTCTATCCGAGACTCTATCCTGTCTGCCTTTCAGCATTCCCAGGCCCAAAGCCTTGGGAAAAACCTACAGAATACTCCTTGCAGTTCCAGACCTAAGAAGCCGGTCAAAGTTGTGGTGTTGGTGTGTGCGTCTGTTCCTTACTCCTTCGCGAGTTCATGTTTCCATCACTTCAGGCCCAGAACCTTCTGACCATTCTACACTCATCAGATTGCTCAAAAGACCTGTGTGCAACGCGACTCTGACAGTACCGTTCCACGACTTGCACACTTTTGCATTGCCGAGGTTCAGTGGCCTGAAGCCGCTGATGTTGCGACGCAGAGGTGTGACAGAGTCATTTGCAGAGTGAGCTCATGCAGCGTGGCATGTCAAGACATGGCCGAACTTGATGAGGTGATGCCAGTGTTCCTGTGGCTGCTACGCCACAGAGTGACAGTGCATCCACTGGCAGTGTTTGTCTGAGATGCGATGTCGGGACAAGAGCTAGGCATCTTGAGTAAAAGTTGGCATTTAGGTGCACCGTCAAAGTCCGTTCCTCAGCGAAGTTAGCAGCCCTCGGCCCGCGGCTATCCGCATCATAAAGCAGTGCTAGACCGGATTTCTTTGCAGGCCACGGTCGCTACGTGTCGGTGTCATCTTGGCTGGCGAGCAGCACCACCCCCAACTTGTAAATTGGGTGTGATCTCTGGATGGCATGATGGGGCTCACAGCTCAGGTCATGCCTGCCATCCTATCCCACCAATGCCGGAATCTCTTGGCCTTCTCATATGGCAGAGAGACCTCTAGGATCTCGTATTTACGGAAGTGCTGTCTGTGCTCGAGGTTGTAGCTGGGCTTTATCGCGGTCTGAAGGCCCTTTACACCAAGTGCCAGTTGGTGCCCATGCAAACGTTCATGTATTGGAGGCACTATCGCCGGGAGCACGGTTGGTGGGATTCGTGAATGGCGACGCCGTCGTCGTTGTTTGGGTGTGTAGCGGCCCCGAGTGATTACCGTGCCAGGTCCGCGAGGCTTTCTCGAGGGAAAGTTCAAGGAGATTACTGAGAACCAGGCCTCAGCCTGGTACATGCAAAGGTACACACAGTTTCACAACTTTTGCACATTATACACGTGGACGCACGCGACCCCTTGACACAGGTGAAGAAAGACATGAATCAGGGTTCATGGAGGCTGTTTGCGCCTTATAATATATCTCTTCAGTCGCCATCGGCTTCTTTGGCCACAGCTAAGGCTGGGTCACGGCAGTTGCAGAGATGGCAGCTACTCGAAAGAGAATCGAATGGAGGCCTGTGGTGCAGGCATGCAAGACAGAGACAAGCATCTGAAATTGGCACGCTGTGTTGCATGGTCCGCGTGAGCATGGATCTTGGGTTGTGTGGGCCGCGCAGACATCTAGGTCCAACGCTGCATTTGCGGGTAACGTCTAAGACTAGGAAGGGAAGAGCTTCTCCAACTCCTGGAAGAGAAAAGAGAGCTCGCGGTTCTGATCCAGAGTGGGGGGGCGGCCCGGACCATGCCGGACCATCACACAACATATTAACATATTCACAGCTTGCGGCAGGGAGGGTGCATTTCCTGCTCCGCTCCGTGCTGTTTGATTTGTAATCCCCGCCTGCAACAAGGCACATTTAACCATCAATTTTTCTTTCCGTCTGGTTTCTGTTATCGCTTCCGTTTTGTTTTCCGAATTTTTTTTTCGGTTCCGTTGGGGGTTCCGTTCTCGATTTCGCTTCCGTTCGGCTTTGCCAAAACGGCACCGGCAACGGAAAACCCGGCACCCGCAACATCCAAACGGAACCGGACACGGAAAGCCCGGGAACCTACAGAAACGGGAAACTGCGGCAAACGCAGGGTGTTCTCTGCGCATTTTTCGTTCATTTGGATCTGGGGGTGGGTCTTACTTATAATACAGTTGAAAAGTACAATGTGTTTTCATTTCTTGCGTTTGCGTACATCTACCGGTTTTGCGTTTCCGTTTTAAGGATTTTGGGGTGCCGGGCTTTCCGTTTTGGGCTCCGTTTCCGAAGCTCCCAGACGACTGCAAGTCCAACCGCAACGCTAGCAACTGGAGGGGAAATCTCAATCGGAAACACCAACAGCAATGATATCCCAAACGGAACCGCGAAGGGAAAGAAAGGAGGTCACGAACGGAAGCATGCTTGGGCCACTGTCGCCGAAAATGAGCGTTACAGTACAATACATTGCAATACTTGCCATTTCGGGGAGCTGCGTGACATGCCAGTAATCCCTTCCCCCTAATATTAGATGGCCCCCCCTCCAAACTCGAGAAGGGTTGTTATTATTAGGCGGTATTTTTGTCTTTACTCCTGCTCTGGCTCTGGCTCCTTTCGGGGCTCTTGCTCTTGCTCCTCCTGCGGCTGTTGCTCCTGCTCTTGCTGTTGCTCTCCTTGCTCCTTTTTCCAGGCCCGCATCCGGCGGTCAGCTCTTGCTCCTATTTCCTTTTGCTTTCTGCTCATGCTGTTGTTGTTACTCCTACTCTTGCCCTTACACCCCCCTAATTCAAAACTGGTTTTCAACGCCCGGGATGATTTGAGGGGATTTCCCGGAAAGTGTTTTTATTAATTTTTAGCGGGGTGTTCAACAAATGGGGGATGGGATTATCAACAGAGTATGTTTGTCGCAAGCAAACGAGGCTCGTGCTGATAGAGTTGTCGCTAAGTTAGAGGTGATGTGCAGATTGCTCGAGATGTTGGGGTACCTTGTCCATGACCATCAGGAAGCCCAAGTGGCAGCAGAGGTGTGCAATGAGCTCCGTTCGCTGCCTGGTGGAGTTTGTCCTTCGCAGAGCTCTCTTTGTGCTTGTTCCGAGGTCTCGATGCGCTTGTGGCAAACTCAGGTCGCGGATGTCCATCTGAACATCTGCTTCAATACA